AAAAAAATTAAGATACTTAGGAATAAACTTAACAAAGGAGATAAAAGACTTGTATTCCCAAAACTATAGGATGTTGAAAAAAGAGATAGAGGAACATATAAACCAGTGGAAGAATATACTGTGTTCATGGATTGGTAGAATTAACATCATTAAAATGTCCATACTACCCAAAGCAATCTATAGATTCAATGCAATCCCTATTGAAATACCAACAGCGTATTTCACAGATCTAGAAGAAATACCCCAAAACAGCCACAGCAATCTTGAAAAAGAAGAACAAGGTTGGAGGGATCACAATACCAGATTTCAAGTTATACTACAAAGCCACCATAATCAAAACAACCTGGTACTGGCACAAGAACAGGCATACAGATCAATGGAACAGAACAGAGATCCCCAGAAATCGACCCAAGACATTATGCTCAATTAATATTTGACAAAGGAGGCAAGAGCATTCAATGGAGTCAAGTTTATTAATATTTCCTTGAGGATTTTAGCATCTATCTTTATCAGGGACATTGGCCTATAATTTTATTTGTAGTGTCTTTATCTAGTTTTGTAATTGGATAAGGCAGGCCTTGAAAAATGATCTTGGATGTCTTCCCTCTTGAATTTTTCTGGAATAGTTTGAGAAGAATATGTGTCTGTTCTTCTTTAAATGTTCGGTAAAATTGGCCTATAGAGCCATCCAGTCCAGGACTTTTGTTTGCTGGGAGTTTTTTTTATTCTGCTTTGATTCCATTAGTTATAATTGGTCTATTCAGATTCTCTTATTCAATTTTGGAAGAGTATATGTTCCTAGAAATGTATCCATTTCTCCAGTTTGTCCAATTTGTAGGCATATACTTGTTCATAACGTTTTCTTACAGTCGTTTATATTTCTTTGGTGTCAATTGTTACTTCTCGCCTAACATTTCTCATTTTATTTATTTGGATTCTCTCTTTTTTTCTTGATGAGTCTGGTTAAAGTTTTGTCAATCTTGTTTATCTTTTCAAAGCAGTTCTTGGTTTCATTGATCATTTTATAATTTTTTTAGTTTCCATGTAATTTATTTCCACTCTAATCTTTATTATTTTCTTCCTTCTACTTACTCTTGACTTTGTTTGTTGTTATTTTTCTAGTTATTTTATGTGTAGGGGTAGATTTGAGAATTTTGAGACTAGGAGCCCAGTGCACAAATTTGTGCACCTTGAAAGGAACTGTGGGTCGCAAGGCTGTGGTAGGCACAAGGGCAGGTCTTGGCCCATCCTTCGCACCCCCACTCAGCCCCTCCCGCTGCGGCCCCTGGTCATCTGTCTTCCTGAAGCCCCACTCCCACCGCAGCCACTCCCATGTGCTGATGGTGCCGGCCCCGCTCGCACCCACTGAAGGCACGAAGCAATTGGGGCCAGCGCTGTCAGTGGGTGCAAGTGGTAGCTGCTGCCCCAATCACCCCTCAGGAGCAGGGGGAGGTAGAGAAGCCCTCAGGGGTGATCAGGGCAGACACCACTGCTCACACCCACTGATGGCACCAAGCAATCCGGACCGGCACCAGGCACCAGCAGCAGGTACGAGCGGTGGCTCTGGTGCCAGCTGCAGGTGCGAGTGGGGCCGGCGCTGGCAGTGGGTGCAAGTGGCGGCTCCAGCACCAGAAGTGGGTGCAAGAGGCAGCTGCCGGCCCTGATCTCCTCTCAGGAGCAGGGGGAGGTGGAGAAGCCCTGAGGGGTGATTGGGGCCGGCAGCTGTCGCTCACACCCACTGACAGCATTGAGTGATCAGGGCCAGCACCGGGCACCAGCAGTGGGTGTGAGCAGCAGCTTCAGCACCAGCAGTGGGTGTGAGCAGTGGTTTCAGCACTGGCAGTGGGTGCGAGGGCAGCCAGCGCCAGCAGCAGGTGCAAGTGCCAGGCGGGACCGTGGAGCACAAGAGCAAAGAATTTTCAGTAACCACCGGAGCCCCACCTTGGTCTGGCACCCCTGCTTACCTGCTCCACCATCCTGCTGCAGCTGGTGCCCACCATGTTCCGCGCACACTCCCTGGTGGTCAGCGCACATCATAGCAACCAGTTGTTCAGTTGTTCCAGTTGTTCCGCCATTCAGTCTATTTGCATATTAGCCTTTTATTATATAGGATTTTTATTGCTTCTTGAGGTAGGCCTGTAATGCTATGAACTTCCCTCTCAGGAAGGAAGCTGGGTTGTGTGTTCATTTTTGTTTGTTTCCAGGTAACCTTTGATTTCTTCCTTTACCACATTGTTAAATGTATTCATTCATTGTTTAATAATATGTTATTTAGCCTCCACATGTTTGAGTGTTTTTGAGGTTTTTTATTGTAATTGATTTCTAGTTCCATACCATTGTGGTCAGGGAAAATGTTTGATAATTCAATCTTCTTGAATTTATTAAGGCTTTTCTTGTGTGTGTCCTAGCATGAGGTCCATCTTATTGAATGTTCCATGTACATCTGAAAGGAATGTACATTCTACTGCTTTGGGATGAAATGTTCTGTAAATATCAATTAAATCCATCCAGTCCAATGTGTCATTTAAGGTCACTGTTGCCTTGTTAACTATTTTGTCTGGAAGATCTATCCATTGATCTCAATGAGGTGATAAAATCCCCTACTATGACTGTATTTCTGCCAATCTCTGCCTTAATGTCCACCAAAATTTTCTTTATATATTTAGGCCCTCCTGCATTGGGTGCATATATATTTACCAAGTGTTATATCCTCTTAGGATTAATCTCTTTAGTATTATGGTAGGAAATAGGCCTCTGGGATCCATCTCCAGCATAGTCTACTTTTTATGAAAATGGTTACTAAATTTCCCCAGGGAAAATAGAATGTAGGGAGGAGGAAAGAGGATATAAGAACAAAGAACTGTGGGCATGAGCCAGCATCCTGGTGGATACCCCCAACGTGCCCACCTCAACTAGATAGGGGGAGGGGGAGACAACTAGAAAAGGCCTCAGCCCAATTTTTTTAAATGGCCCAATGGGAGGCAATAAGACCTAGGTGAAGTATAAGGAAACAGGTGACCCCATAGTACTCAGCCAATGAGGAACCGGAGGAGGGACTGAATAAATAGGCTTGATCACTACTCCATGTGAGCCTGTACAACCGGATAGACACCCACTCTCAAGAACATATTAAAAGTCTCATTTTCACCATACTTCTGTCTGAGTTTGTTATTTAAATTCAGACAGGTGAGCATTTCTCACAATTATGTAATGTCCTTCTTTGTCTGCTATAATAACCTTTGTTTTACAATTTATCTTGATGATATAAGGTATATTATCCCAGCTTGTTTGGTGATGTTGTGTCCCCCTGCAGGGAATATATTTGTTCCATGCCATCCTATTCTGGTATGGGAGAATCATCTGGTC